CTCCACAGCCAAACCTTCCTCCTGACCGTCACTTTCTCTTCCCTCTTTCAGGCTGCCAACAACCTCATTGTACTGGGTCGTGAAGAAGCAGGAGCTGAAAGGATCTTCCAGAACAATGGAGTGGCCCTGCTTCTGCAGCTCATTGACACGAAGAGGCCTGAGCTGGTGCTGGCTGCAGTGCGGACCCTGTCGGGCATGTGCAGTGGCCACCGAGCTAGGGTGAGGGCCTGGGCGTAGGCACGGGTCTGGGCGCTTGGCATGAATGGCTGCCCGGACAAGGACCTGGAAGGGTGACATGTGGGCAGGGTGTGGCTGGCATAAATGGACCCTGATACAAAACCTGAAGTGTCCCCTCCAACTTTGGTTGTATGGTCCCGGATTCAACAGAGATTGCTCCTCTGTTTTTCCTCAGAGCTGGAAATAGGTCTATGTCAGTGGTCGGCAAACCGCGGCTCGAGAGCCACATGCGGCTCTTTGGCCCCTTGAGTGTGGCTCTTCCACAAAATACCACGTGTGGGCGTGCACGTACAGTGCGATGGCAACTTCATGGCCCATGCGCAGAAGTCGGTTTTCGGAAAGGAGATAGACGAAACAAGTATACAAGACGAGTGTGGATGGGAGAGTTGGAAGGGGTCGACCTCAGCGAACGTACCTCAATCAGATTGAGGACGTTTTTAGCAAAGGCCAGCTTAGGAGTATCCTAATTAAGTTAATAACAATGTACCTACCTATAGAGTTTAAGTTTAAAAAATGTGGCTCTCAAAAGAAATTTCAATCGTTGTATTGTTGATATTTGGCTCTGTTGACTAATGAGTTTGCCGACCACTGGTCTATGTGAACATAAGGCTATTGAAAGTCATCTGAGAGGAGGAGCTGAATGCAAAGGCTATGATAGCTTATACTTTTTCATGCTACATCTTCAAAATCTAGTGTATACTTAACACTCATAGCACCTCTCTCTCAATGTGAACGGCCCCAGGACACGTGCTCAATGACTCCATGTGGCCAGTGGCTCTGAACCTCTGGCAAGGGGCATGGCTTGTGTCAGGGCATCCCCAGACCCTGGGCCAGGAGGCATGGGCTTATTTCCCTACTGCACGGGGTGGTTACCTCCCACTCCTGAACCGGCACGACTGACTGTGGTTTGTGGGGGTCCAGGCCACGGTGCTGCTCCACGCAGTCCGGATAGACCGCATCTGCAGCCTCATGGCGGTGGAGAATGAGGAGATGTCCCTGGCCGTCTGCAACCTGCTCCAGGCCATCATCGACTCTCTGTCCGGGGAGGACAAGCGGGAGCATCCAGGGAAGGAGGAGGCCCTGGTTCTAGGTAGGAGACAGGCTTCAGTTTTGGTTCCGGAGGTTGGGGGCAAGGGAGAGTCTGTTACCACCTCAGCCTGGGAATTTCCTGTATGTGGAGGTTGTCTGGTGTTATTGTCATACAGTATTTTCCGATGATAAAAGTAACAGATGCATAGCAGCATTAGGGACAATAACTTAAAGGTCGAAGCAAATCAAGTGTCCGTCGACAGATGAATGGATAAACAACAACAACAAAATACACACACACACACACACACACACACTAACACACACACACACACACACACAATGGAATAGTTACTCAGCTTTAAAAAGGAAGGAAATTGTAACACATGACACAACATGGATGAACCTGTGGACATTATGCTAAGTGACATAAGCCAGTCTCAAAAAGACAAATATGGTATGATTGCATATAGATGCAGCTTCTGAAATTGTCATACTCTTAGAAACAGAAAGTAGAATGACGGTGGCCAGGGATGGGGTAGAGGGAAATGAGCAGTTATTTAAATGGGTACAGAGTTTCAGTTTTGCAAGATGAAAAAGTTTTGGGGATGGATGGTGGGGATGGTTGTACAAAATGTGAATGTACTTAATGCCACTGAACTCTGTGCTTAAAAACGATTAAAATGATGTTTATTTTATGTATACTTTACCACAATTTTAAAAAGTAACAGAGGCTCATTGGTGAAATTTGGAAAAATTTAGAAATATGTAAAAATGAAAAAAAACACCTCACCTGTAATTACCCCTCCTGATAACCTTTTTTTCTATCCATCCATATAAATATCTATTTAACAAAATTGGAATTTGGCTATGGATAGTTTTGTGTCTTTTCTTCACTGAACATTATATTAGTATTGCATAGCATTTAATAGTCTTTAAAAGGGTTCCTTTTGACTTTGATCATTTTATCATATTAATTTTACATTTGTTTCATTCCTACATACATGCACATGTAGACTCCTGCTCCTTCCTGCACACCCAGGTCCGAGGCATCATTTTAGAAGTCCCTGCCCTGCCTGGGAGGGTCACAGAAGCAGGGTCACTCAAAGGGAACGTGATTTTGGATAATTTCATTATATTTAATTGTATGGATGTATCGTGATTCGTCAGGCAGCTTTATATTATTGGAGATTTCAATGGTTTCTAATTGCATGCTTGTGAAACACTCCAGCAGCCATTCTTTACATAAAATATATTTGTACTTGTAGTTATTTCCTTGGCACAGGTTCTGAGAAATGGGAGTACTAGGTCAAAGGCTATGAACATAACGGATGTTCTTTCTCCATCTACTTTCAAGTTCCCTCCTGAGAGGGTACATCCACTTGTACTCTTACCAAGTGATGATGAGTTCCAGTCTCAAATCATTCTCACCAGATCTGAATACTATCATTCTTAATAGATTCTCCTTTTCAGCAGGCAAAAATGATCTAGTGCGATTAATCATTTTCTTTATCTTTATTAGTCATTTGGATGCCTTTGTCTTTGAGTGGTTTGTTCACACCATTACTTATTTTTTTCTACTGGGACATCAGTGCATTCTTATTGATTCATAAGAGCTCTTTGTAGATTAATACTATTAACTTTTAGAGTCCTGGATTCTTGATATGGTTCGGACTTACTGTTGTGATGGTCAGCAAGTCAGGTTCCTTTTTGCACTACAATGGCTGGAGGGTCCAAATGGGCCTCACTCGTATGGGTGGTGGTTACCTGGAGATGCTGGCCAGGGCATCTTGGTTTTACGCCTTGTGGCCTCGCTAGTGGGCAGCTTGGATTTTTTAAAAATGTATTTTTATTGATTTCAGGGTGAAGGGAGAGGGAGAGAGATAGAAACATCAATGATGAGAGAATCATCAATTGGCTGCCTCTACCACGCCCCCTACTGGGGATCAAGCCTGCAATCTAGGCATGTGACCTGACGGGAATAGAACAGTGACCTCCTGGTTCATAGGTCGAGGCTCAACCACTGAGCCAGGCCAGCTGGGCCAGCTTGGATTTTTATGTAACATGGAAGCTGGATTCTAAATGGACAAGCCCCAGTGTGCAAGTGCTTTTTAAGCCTCTGGGTGTGCTGTCAGTCACATGATCAGCCCAGGCCCAGTGTGGGAGGGGACTCCCCAAGAGCATGAATAATGACAGGTGCCGTTTATTGGGGGACACAACTTCCTTGTGAGGTAGTGAGCTATTAGCTATCTGCTAAAATATTTTATATATTGATTTCGAATCTATGTCCCTGTGGCATCCACCCACCTCAGGTCCCAATTTTGCTCTCCGAGGCCTTACAGAGTAAGTCTATTATCTTACCCTCGTGACAAACCTCCATCTGCAAACGGGCTATCATGTCCACTTCCTTCCTTCCTTCTCTATCCAGATAGCCTCATTCCTTCAACGTTTATTTACATGACACCGTTTGGAAAGCCTTCCTCCCTGCCTGCCTGCCTTTGGGCTCCACCCTAGAATGAGAACAAAAGTCTGCAAGTCTCAGAGAGGTCAGACGGGGCAAAGCAGGAAGAGGCATTTATTTGCCTTTTGAGTTTCCCAGTGGGCAGGGAGGACCGGGCACCCCAGACAGGGGCTTGCGATAGGGCGCCCGGCCTGCCTGAATCTGTGGGGAGTGAGATGTCTGTAAGGGGTACACATTTCCTTTCTGGAAAACGTCTTATTAAGTCAGTTCATTAAAAACTACACAAAGCATCCCCGGGTCCCTGCCAATCATGACCTTGAAGGAAGAAGCAGCTGTCCGAGGATGGAATGGGCTGTAGTAGAAGTCAGCGCGCAGAGTGGCTGGAGGACCCCCACGTGTTGTCTAGGGATTTCCCTCCTTTTTGGGGGGTTGAGGTGGACAATACTATACACTTCTGGGAAATTCCAATATCCAGGAAGCAGTAGATTTGATATTTCCAGAGTCCTTCTGGAAGCCTCTTCCATTCCTGGTCCTAAATACCTGAGGCTCCCTGGTCCTCTCTCTTTATCCCTGTTCTCTCCTCCCTCAGACACCAAGAAGGACCTGAAGCAGATCACCAGTCACCTGCTCGACATGCTGGTCAGTAAGAAGGTGTCCGGCCAGGGCAGGGACCAGGCCCTGAACCTGCTCAATAAGAACGTCCCCCGGAAGGACCTCTCCATTCACGACAACTCACGCACCATCTACGTGGTGGACAACGGTGAGGAGGTGGGCGGGCCTGGGCTCACTCCAGCATTCCCATGGGCACCAGGGTACCTTGCCCTGGGCAGAACGTGGAAGAAGTCTTCAATCCCAATGGAAAAGCCAGGTTAGGATCCACTAGCGGGCTGGTGAAGGTAGAGGTCAAGTCTCTGAATTACGGGCCTGGCCATTCCCAGAAAACGTCTAAATACACCCAAAAACATCTTATCTGGGTGAAGTTTCCTGACAAACAGGGGTAAGTGCTAAAGAACAAACAGAATTCCACCAACCACAGGGTCACACTCCTGAAGTCTCATGGTTGGCAAGGCCTTCTAGAAGGGAGAGATGGCATCGCCTGCACGTTATATTAAGCCCAGGAAGAATGTTCTAGAAGATAGTCACGGAATTTGTTAGCTCTGGGTGTTATCCTCTCCTAAATTGACATCTTTTATTGTGGCTGTATAATCTGCTACAAAAAATTCTCTTGCACATTTAATGGCGTTTATACTATTCATTGTTCTTAAAGGTCCAAGTCAGCTTTACCAGCTTGAAATTCATTCTACTTTGATATTGCAGTTCCCTTGATTGGTTTTCACAGATCTCAGCAAAGTGCACATTAATGAATTACTCTAGTGCTTAAGCCTCACCCCCAGCACTTTGGCCCCAGTTCTGGTCTTCTCTGCATATATTACAAAGGCTGAGCACCAAGA